TGTAAAGCATTCAAGTAAAATCAGATTGAGGCTACAATACTGCTTAACAGCTGTGGCAGGTGTTAAAATATTTAACCCTTTAATTGCATGTTTGTTTAACTATATAGTTCTGAAAAAAGGTAAACCACACAATACTTGGCTTCTAGTTTATAGTGATAATAATGCAATACAGTAAAAATAAGACCTCAAATAAAGTTCTCTGGAAATGCTCTTTATCTTGAACCATTGTTTAGAATTGGGTCCACTGAAGGAATTTGTCTTGTTAATAATATATCTTACATTCTAGTGATTTATCAGAGGAGCTCACAGGTAATCTGTGCCTTGAAGGCTTCTATAAACAGTCGCCTGTAAAATAGTTAACACAAAGGGTTTCATTGCTTTCCCCCGTCTTTATTATCTGCTGTGATTATTCATAGAATCTGTCACTGTAAATCTGCCAGCAGCTTGCGTTTCGAGAGATTTTGGCAGACGTGTGCAATTGCAGGAAAAAAATCTCAGAGAACTACTTTACAAGCAAGCCCCAAAATCTGTTGCTTTAAGACTTAAAAAATTTGAATATATCCGTAAGAGGAACAATATTTATAGTAACGCTTTTACCTCTTAGATCCACTGCTTAGCATGTGACTGTTTTTGAAAACTAAACATAATAGTCTTAATTCTAAAATAAAATATTATAGTGATTGTCAGTTCTGAGTAGTTTGACTTGCAGAGGATTTGGGTTTTTGAGAAAATGAAACGGTTTATTATGTTGACGTTTCTCTACACTAGCTTACAAACAATGTAATTTTAACTACAGAGTCTGAGTGTTGCTGAGTTCAAGGAATTTACCTGTGATTTTACTGACCAGCTGTCCATTCCTTGTACTTTGTCATTTTCTATTTTGCAGCCTTTAATTTTGCTTGACCAGAAATGATTGCCTATTGCTGTGGTTTTATGTGTATTATAAAATAACACTGGTGGTATCACTGTTCCTGCTCTTTGGAAAAAGGGGAAAACATATGATGACTTCATAAGATAAAATACTTTATTCTCAAGTAAAAGGAAAATCCTATTAAAAACACCTCCTTCTCCTATAAACAGGGCCTAAGGCCCTAGCCTATCTAAAGAAAACACATAAAAGATGTCAGGCTTGATCTCTCTATTAATTTCAAAAGGTTACTAAATAGTGGGAGACATTTCACAGAGACAGTCCTTTCCATCCACTTCAATTAGTCAACAGTTCTGCAGGGCTGGCAATTTACATTTTACACACATTAAATGAAAATATTTCTACAAATTTTGTACCGTGGAAAATCAATTGCTATCTCCTTCCTCTCTCTAGCAAGGAACAGTAAGAATTGCTGGAGTCATCTGTTCTAAGATAATGCAAAAGTCTCTTTTGTCAATACTTTAAAAAAAAGTTAGGGTTCCTGGTAACATGTAGTTAAGTTTGGGAAAAGTTATAATATACATGAGTACTTTACATACAAATGGTACCAAACTGCAAGGCATTGCAGCCCCCTTCTGACCAAAGCTGAAGCTGCTAAAACTGCTAAACCGTTCAGTTTGAAAGTGAATCAAATAGTATTTGATATATGAATAAATGTAAATATTTTTACATAATCAAGTGTTTTAAAATGAAATTGCATGCTCTGAAGTTAAACTACATGAATAGCCTTTCTAAACTGGTATTAGGAAATTCAGCAAATACTTGTACTCTGAGGTTCTCCATGGAAGTGAGACATACTGAGTGTAGCTTTTATATAATTTCAAGGCGCAGTTAAAACTGGTGGGTTTTTTTAAGCCACTGTTGTCCTTTCTTGACAACTTCACCAAAGCTCACAGAGATAATATTTGACTGCTTCGGTTGTGTCTATAATACATTCCGTACAAATGTCAGAGTCCATGCAGCCCTATATGAATCTGTTCATGTTTTCCTAATGGATTATTCAAACAATCATAATTGGATTTGGATGTTTATCATAATTACTTGACAAATATTTTAAGCACCTGTTTTAGATCAAATAATTACATCCTTTCCCATTCTTAAAATACCGAGGGATGAACGTGACCATGATTTTTGAGTACTGTAAAGGAGCCAAATACATTTTCCTATTCTCCGAACGGGTTTCAGAGGTTGTGTTTTACGTATAGAGGAAACCCGGGCTTCTGTGTTTAAATTGAGTCAATCCATTTCTTATTTTCACCGTTTACCCCCAGAAAAAAAATGCCACCTCCTTTAAAATGTAGAGGCCCCACCAGGTCACAAATCCTTGTTAAGAGTTTTAACTGTAAATGAGGGTAGGGACTGCAGCGGCCCAGGCTTTGTGCTGCTGCACCTAACAAAGGAGGCCTCTCGCTGCTCCCCTGCGGGGCTGCTGCGTGTTAGACGAACAGGCAGCAGAGCGCGGGTTGCACGAGTCACTTGTAAAGGG